CCCACCGTGGCCTAACTTCCTCCAGCGGCCGGGCAGCGTCGTGTGCCAGGCCCAGCTCCTGGGCCCAGCTTTCCCCCCATGCGCCGGGAGGGCCTGGGCCCGCACTGCCCCAGCCCGGCCTTCCCTCCACTGCTGGGAAGGGCTGGGGCCATAGGCGGAGACCTGGGGGCGGGAGGGGCACGTTCCTGCAGGATGCCGAGTGACGTGATGATGTCACTGTCGTCCCACAGGAAAAACTGTTTTCAAGTATAATAAGGACAACTTGCTTTCAGGTCGGTCAGACCCTTCCCTTTGGATAAAACCCCGAGCGCTTCCTTCCCGTGCTCAGATTTTTCTTTTAATTTATTTTTTACGTCTTGTCTAGAAAACAATGGATTTTACTCAAAGACATTTTTGGGGTGAAAAATGTCATAGATGTGGAAATGCAACTTCTGGCTTTATCGAAATGCTTCATCCTGGCGGGCGGGCGGGCGCGTGTCCAGAGTGGAATGCCATGGAAATCGATGTGCTTTGGGGAGACGTTTCGCTGCAAACAGCCTTTTCTGGGTCATAGAACTGTGCTGATGGAAAATGTCTGGGGCTCTCTGCTAGTCAGTGGAGAGGCACCTCCCGTTGCCTGCCGTGAGCTAGCCCCGTCGCCTGGCTCCAGAACTGCTCCTGTGTTACATGCGGCGGTTGCCAGCTTGTCTACCAGTGCAGCCAAGGTGCTCAGCCTGTAAAAAGCATTTCTATTGTGTGGCCACCTTGCTGAGGCCTGTGGGTACCCCTGGACTCGGGTCTCCATAATGCCGCTTGCGTGGATTCAGGTGTCCTATCTGGTACCAGCAAGATGAGGCCTCTCCGCCCCCGGGAAATGACAGCTGCAGAAGTTGCAACAGGCCAGCTGCATTAGCCTGTTGTGTCCAAGGAGAGGCTGAGGGAAGCAGTGACCTGCCAAGCCAGCTCCCCCCAGGCAGCGTTGTATGCTTCTGTTTCCAGAGTGCCTGGCCGGCTGCTGGGTATCCCATGTCAGCGGCATTCCGGGTGATGCTACTCTGGGAATAATGAAATGCCGCCTGCCGTCATGCTGGCGGGCGTTGAGAAACAAAATCCAAGGTGCAGAATCAGCAGGGGCAACACGAGGGGAGGGCTGTTAAAAGATGCAGCCCAGACACTTTGTTTTACAGCCTTGTCCAAGCTCTCTGCTGTCTGTAGCAGGTATTTACCCTCGCCCGCCCTCGACGGCAGGGCTGTGCTCTTGCCTCCCACTGACCAGGCAGCGGGGCACAGAGGGGCGGGGACAGATTTGTAAAGCTAGTTAGGGGGCTAAAGAGTCAGCAGGGTGCCTGCTGAGATGTCACCTACTGATGGCTCCCCCGACTCTGGGTCAGGCCCTGAGTGGCTTGCCGAGGGTCCCGTAGTTTGTGGCAGAGGTGGCCATGGACTCCTGGTCTCCCCACGGTTCCAGCCTTTCCCTGCTGTAGCCCTCGCAGCAGGGAAGAGACCGGGCCGGATTGGAATGCTCGTAGGCCCGACTCCCGCCCATTGAGGTCAATGGAAAGACTTTCTGGAGCCGGCCCTATCGGAGGGATTCTTGGTCCCTGGCCTCTGTCTGTCGGGCTGGGAATGAGCGACAGGGCGGGGCCAGCTGATTTCCTGTTCGGTTCACTCCCGGGGCACCTGGCCTTGGCCAGGCAGGCAGGACACTGGGCTGGATGGACCTTTGGTCTGACCCTGTCTGGCCGCTCTTATTCCCAGTCCCCTGCTCCAATCACTCCTTGGCCTGGCCTGGCTCTGACTTCTCCTC